CAGTTAAAGACAGCTGAAAAAAAAACATGGCATGTCAACCATCTTACTAAATGCACACTTAGGTCATTTTGTTGTACTATGCTTAACAATGAAGCCTGGTTCTAACACCAGTCACTTGGTTTAACTTCACCTGATCTAGCACACCATAACAAGCAGGAAGATTGCTGGAGTTGATCAGCTGCAAATTCATTTCATAGGGAAGACCCAGGTAACATCTTTGGAAGTCCAAAATGGCAGGTTCAAACTCAATCCCAGGCACAACACACCTGTAAAAACAGAAAAGATGAAGAATAAAAATGAAGAAAACAGAGGAAAAGACTTGGGATTCATCTGTGATCAGGAAATATTTGTTCTTCCAATTACTAAAACCAACATTTTAAAATGATTGACAACATTCTCTCTGAAAATGGTCTGAAATCAGATCTCTGTTGTTTATTAGTCAACAAAAAACAGCAACATCACCTTATTTTAGCCAAATTAAACTGTTTTTGCTGTCAAAATATGATGCCTATAAAAACTACTCTTCCCCTTGGATCCTAGCTTTGATTTAAAGTACAAGTCAGGGAATGGATACAAAAAGATCTAAAGCACTGAGTGAGCATTAGCTTGTGATAAAGTTAAATGCAACAGAGTAATAGAAAAAGAGAAAAGTGTTTTTATTTAAGAATTTTCTGAGCATGTTTCTGGTTGTCAGCAGTGAGTGTGTCGAACCTGGCATTGAGAGGCAGAATCGTGATTTCCTCTCCGACACCTTCAACATCTATTGCTAGCGCCAGTTCATATTTCTTCACTGTGTTCGAGCACAGGGTAACCTAATCACACATTTGAAACAAGCAAGAAAAAAAAAAGAAAGTGTTTATAGGAATGTTAATTTTCATTTATTTTACATCAACACAGACTAAAATCATTATTTCAAAATGTGTTCAAATTAGTTCCACTTCCTTAAAGAAGATTCTACAAAAACTGGGAAACGTAACGTTTTACCCTCGATAATTTAAGTTACATGAATTAAGTTTAAATTCATTAGTTTAAAATAATTGCAGTAAGGTTTTTGAAATACTAGAAACTATTACGATTGCACTATGTTTACGTAACACAATAAAACATGAGTTTTACACAAGACACATCTTTGGAACAGTAAACAATCTACACGTGACATTTACTTTTAAGAAAATTAAAAGGAAGATTAAAAGGGATTATCAATTTAATTTGGTGCCCACTAAGTTAGAAATTAGACCAGCCAAATGTCAAACTGTTGCAGTGTCATTGCGACGGTACCTTGATGCTGACATCAGACATGGCATCCACAGTGCCAGTTGTTGGACTGACAGTAAACTCCACTGGTCGAAGAAAACGGTCCCAAGTTGGATATCCTTGCCAACTCTTTGGGGACAAATCAGACACCTGTTGGGTACTGGTAATGCTACGAGGTCCTAACCCGTCCCCCATGACATGTAAAGCAAAAGTCATTGGAACAAATGATGTGTTGAAAAGGGTACATGTCTGTGTTGCTGGAAAACCTATAGAAAGAAATATTTTATAAAATATGGAAGAGAACATTAGTAGAGTGGATGAATCTAGGTCGATTGATGTTCTGATCTTCAAGGTGACTTACCAAAAGCTACGTCGCCGAAATTTAGTTCATACACATCAAAGTGGAAAGTGGGGCCAATTACACAACCCCTGAAGTAAAGAAAGGCAGAAAAACATGTAACTATTTGAAAACATTTTCCAAATTACACAAGTACTGATTATGCAATTAAGATTAACAACAAATTGGATTGATATAAACACTTTAACAACCTCAAATACTGACTGTCTCTGTAATTAACTTGGACAGTATGTTTACATGCCATCTTCACCTGAAAGTTAGGATTTGAGTTTGCGGCTGTCCTGTGACAATTAACAGCAAATCCTCAGAAAAGCTTCCCAAGGTCCGACTGTGAAAACTGATTTCTACAGCCTGGCAGATCCCAGGGGGAATGACACCTTCCTGGGGCCGGATGGAAAAACACAGGCCAAATGTGGTCTTAGGGTGAGAAAACTTGAAAGGGGCATCAATCAGTCCCTTGTTTGTCATCTGCAGCTAAAAAAACAACAAAAAACAATTTTGTCACAAGTCCCATTGCTGAGTAAAATTATGTTTTACATAAAACTTCTGATGGACACTCAGTAATGCAAGGCTACAAACTCACATGGATGAGTTCAATAGAGTGTAAAAAAGTTCCAACTCACTGAACTTGGACTGACAACATCAACTTAATTTTCAAAACAGATTCTGAGTGAAATGAGAATACTTTGTAGAGCCACATTCAATGTAATTATACCTGCACATTCTTCAACCAATTCAAACCTGAGCTATTTGTAAAATAGCTCAGTCAGATTGGATGAGACTCCTGTGAACTCCAAATCTCCAGTCTTACCACACATTTTCAATTTTATTTAGGTCTGGGACATTCTGATACATACATGCACTGGTTGTTAAACTCCGGCTGTATGTTCAGCATTGTCCTAGTTAAAGGTGAACCCAGGCTTTGCCCCTGTATTATGACCTCACTGGGCCACCAGGCTTGAACAGGGCTCTGGAAAATGGCCAAAGTTTGAGATATTGTTTTATAACACAACATTCATTAAATTTGTTCACTACTTTATCCCTGACAGTTCCGCTGTGTCTTCATGATGCCGTTTGTTCTCTACACAGAGCAGCTCTATTTATACAAAGATTAAACAACACATCTGGACTTTGATCATAGATGACTTTTGAAAGCAACTGGTTGCACTGGTTTTTCAGTGAGAGGTGTCAGAGTAAAGGGAACAGAATACAAACGTCCAACACACTTTTCAGATCTTTAACTCAACTACTAAACAAGATCATGGACTTCAGGCTAACCAATTTTGCAAATCCACCATTTTTACTTCTCAAAACCCTTTTGTAGTCCAAATTCAAGGATAGTGCAGCTACAAGTAGATACGTCAAAATTAATTATGCCATCAACCAGCATCAGAAAATCTTCAAAGTGCCTGGCTAAATTTAATTTTTCCGAAAAATGTACCAACATCAGTGGGGAAAGTCGTCTTTGTTTTTGTGAAGCCCTTCAAGGACCAAATGTATGACTGAAATGAGAAAAGGGTGGATTTGCAAAAAAAAAAATCCCAAAAAACTGGGACATTGTGTAAAACATAAATAAACAGAGAACATGATGATTTGCAAATCAGTAAAAAATTTTGGAATGTGTTGCAGGCATCAAAACAAAGATAATACACGTGAGTCTTAAATATCTTGTCCTTGTAGTGAAATAAATTGAATATAGCTTGAAAAGGATTTGTAGATCATCATATTCTGTTTATGTTTTACACAACATCCAAACTTCATTGGAATTGTAAAAGCATGACATGTCCACTTTAGCAGCAACTTTGACAGTTCCAAGTTGCTCTTCTAGTTCTTACCTCATAATGATCTTTGTCACCTATAAACACATTTCTTATGTCCATCAGGTTATAGTTGAGCTCGAGTTTTGGTCCAAGCCCTTCACCTTTGATCCGAAGGGGTAATGATGATTCCTTGCCTAAACAGTGACAGTGACAATTCAATTTCAAATTTTCTATGTAACAAGTTTAAAAGCTAAAGGTAGTTGGCAATCATTGCCAAGAGTTTGGTCACTGATGCAGATGGTACGTTTTACACACTCTGAAATATGTTTGCACTGATTTTGATTATATTGGGATAATCCAGGTGTCAATTTGCTTAAATTGTTGACTTTAATGACAAAATATATTTAGCATTTTAATAGATTTAGCATGTATTTTACCTGTAGTCATTGTGTTTTTTCTCAAGACGATCAGCTAATTTTATTATTTTTTTTTATTATATCATTAATATAGATGTAGCTCTAAACGAGCCCAGCAGAAATCATTATAATCAGCAGACAGACTGCTACAGAAGAGGGTCCAGATGTAATTTTATTCACCGTCTAATTGTGTTAGCAATGGTTATCTCCAAAGAAAGTGTGAAGTCATCATTACTTTGCATAAAAATGGCCTCACAAGCAGGAAACTGAAGCTTTGAATATTGCGGCTGAATAAATAATTGTCTAGACAATCAAGAACTTCATGTGAAGAGATTCAGTTGTGGTGAAGAAAGATGCAAAACACTCAACACTGCCTAGCAAGCACCAGGCCTGGCTAAGAGCTAGAATGACACCATCAACAACAAAAAAGTGTAAGTGTGTCCTACGTGCAAAATGATGAGCCAACATATGGAGACCACTCTTGTGACAAGAAAGGGGACGAAGACAGTAATGAGACACCAAGGACAAGCTAACAAGTATTCAAGTAGTCCGTTGATGATATGTGTGTCTATGCTTGTGAAACTATCCAGATCTTTACCTCACAGAGAATCTGGTGTTCGTTCTCAAATATCAGGTTTCAAAACAAGACAGATTACATTGGTGTCAGTGATGGGCTTTAGTCTATGCGTATAGATGCTTGTTTTGCTTCATTATTTTCTAGGTCACAAAGCTTTACAGAACAAATGTCATATTAGTTGGTCAGATCCTCACTTGCCATGGAAATTTATGGAAATTTGGAATCCGGCTCAAAGGAGACAAAAGATGGCCACATGCAAAGCTGTCAACTGCCTTTCAGAGCCACTAAGATTATATAATTGTTCAACAAATTGCACTTAAGTTGCTGCTCAGGGAATGAAGCTGGTTTTCCTTGTTTTCATGTTGGACAGATTTAACATTACCGTATGAAATACAGCTATTGTTGCCCCGTGAAGTAAAATAATATGAATAACAAGAACAAGCACGAATAACTCCTTCGCTCAATAAAACATGTGCACAAATGAGTGAATTGTGTTCTGCCGACTGGGAGAGGGAAGGAAACGTGAAGGACACTCTGTTTACAGCCAAACCTGTAGTTTGCTACCGAGACTCATTTTTGTTTGTCTAACCTTTGTAGCACAGACTCCCAGGGGGGAAAGGGGAATCTTTTATGAGAAAACCAAAACTATCAATTTACAGAGCAAGAGGGATGTGCGCTGAGCCTGACTTGTAAAAACAGCCAGCTTCAAGGTGGGGAAGAACTACCAAACCAAAAGATTTATTACTAGTTTATGATGGCTTTCATCATGAAAGAAATTGTATTTACAAATTCCATATATTTAAATGTACAGAGTAGAATTAACGTTTTAAGAGATTCTATCAACATTTATGACCAAGTACTCAAAATACGTTTTACAAAAAATTTAATTTCCAGAGTTCTTGATCCTTTCACCATATTTCTAAATATTCAATTTGAATTTATGGCAACTATTTCTACATGTCATATTGCTTAAACAAAAACAAACTAGCAAATCTCACTGTTTTCTGTCTTCAGATATAGTAAGTGAGATGTGACGTCATCCCTACATTCAACTGTCTAGACAAATTTCAGAATAATTTCTGATCAAAACGTCTGCCACGTGTTTGTTACCTAAATCCTTTGACATACATTCTACTACTATACATACATACTGCTAGCATAAAAAAATACAGAAATATGAACATTTAAAACACTACATGCAAGTAGGTATAGTGCATTTTCATTATTCTATTTCAAAACTAGCAAAAAGCTTAAGTTGTATCTACTAACCTGTGACATTACAATAAACGGTGTGTTGGTAAACTTTTGCCTCCTCTGGCTTGAAGACGATGAGAAAGTTTGCTGTAGTGTTAGGCCAGAGCTCTCCCCTCTGAAGCAAAAATGATCATTAATTTAGTGAAATCATGATGCAGATGTAAAACAGAAAATAGCGATACCTAATACTGGTCGCGAACTTGACACACCAAGAACTGTGTTTGCACGCGTGTGTGTATGTTAGGAGTTTAAAAAAAGTTTTTGTGTTCCCTACTACTATCCCCAAATATCTTATCAAAATTTGTGTATTGACTAAATTACATAGTTCACTCTTTCTTCACCAATCTTTCCCTCGCATTCTGTCCACTGTTTCTCAAACATGCTTGAAATACATAAACACACACACTCCTTGACCCTGCTCCCATCCCATCCACCCCCACCACACACACACATGCACAGCAACTATGCTATGAAGCTGTAGGCCAAATGAAATCACAATCTGACGTTGCCTGATGCTCATGCACAAAATATGCAGGGTTGGCCAAACAATAACTACAAACTTCACAAGGCCTTCAGATTAGCTCAAGGACAGTGTGAAGAGCTTCATGGGAATGGGTTTCCATGACTGAGCTGATTTATCCAGGTCTAACATCCCCATGTGCAATAATGCTAAACATGACATTCAACAGAGCTGGACACTGTTGAATGTCATGACAAATTGGTTTGGCAGCTGTATGGAGAATGGTACTTTTCTAACTCCACTGTGTCAACTGTAAAGCTTATATCGTAAGGTGTAAGGTGAAAACAATTAGTGGTTTAATAAAAAAAAGAATGAAAGGATAGTACAGTGAAGAAGTGAAAATGCAAACACACCACCGGCTCCAATGTTATGCCGCTGAGTGAAAGTGTAGGAGGGCAGTCCTCTGCAGCTTGGCTATTGCTCTCCTGCAGGCTTTGGGACAGCAGCAGGGGGTGATGGATCGCTTTGGGGTCAGACTCGCACCGACTAGGTCGACACATATTTCCCTCCCTTTTCTCCTCCAACTGCTGAAGCACAGAGTTCTCCCTGGAGAGTGGACAGAAGGTGAAAAGGAATACAAAGTGTAAGTAAGGTGGGCCAAAGTGGAAAAACTGGCTCATGAGAAGAGCAAAAAGCTGCTGACGGACAGAAAGCGAATGCAGTAAGAAAGCTTGACTGTGTGCATTTTAAGCTTTTTCTAATCCAAACCTGAAAAAGGACAGGTCATCTTCTGCCTGACTTGGCAACACTGTCCAATGGTACTTAAGAGGAATGTCACTGCAGTTGGTGAGTGAAACTGTCTGAGAACTGGTCAGGGAGATATAAGTCTTCTTCAGATTTACAGGCTCAGGTTGAAGACAGATGTTCAGTTCCTCCGAAGTCCCAAACAAACTGATGTGGACATCTTCACCTGAGAGAAAGATGTAGAAAACAAGCAATCCTGTTAAAAGTCATAAAACCAGTGCTTTAATTGTTTCATTAGCTTGATAAGAGAGGGTGAGATGGAGTGATTTTTACCATTTTTACTTTACAAAACAAATTTAATTAAAGGAAATATTCTGAATAAATAATAGCAAGCTCAACAAAGGCCACAATTTTAAGTCATACATAAATAAAACTGTCTGTTTCAGCTGTATAAGAAGGTGCTTGAAGACAATGTGAGACAATTGTAAAAAAAAAAAAATAATTAAAACTGAAGCAGAACTAGTCATTGAGTTTGTCCTTGATTAAAGCAACAACCAGGAAAAAAAAGATGCAAAATCAGGTTTTGTATAAAGCCACCAAGAACAAGGAGCCATGTAAATTTAGTAACTCTTTGTTTACATTCAAATCAGAGACAATGCAATTTACGCATGAAGGCGAAATGATTTTCTTTTAGTCCTTGTTTGGTGAACGTCTCTTGTAAAATTTCCACTATAATTAAAATATTCTATTGCAGGTACATATGAATACATGCAGAGTTACACTGTTATTCTGGTAATGACAAAAGCAAAATTCTGACTGAACACATTTGGCTGTGGCCTTTTGCTTCTGTGGTTTGTAATAAGATCAACAATGTTTAACATTTTTACAAGCAGCTCAGCGATGGTGATTTTTCTCACACTATCTAGTTTTTTAACAGATAAAACCTCTTTGATGTGAGTAACTTCAGAAGCACATCTAAGGTTGCTAGATAAGTGTCTGCTCAGTTCAGTAGAGAAAGAATGGGATTTGCAAGGCCCAAGACAATCCAGTTTAAAATACATTTAACATCAGAATATTACATGAGGCGTATAACAAAACATTTTAAGACAAAAATGTGGGCATATTCTAAAGCATGATTAATTCCCGATTAAACATTACTTTCAAAATGTACTTTTAATCTGAACGCATATTCTAATTTATTGAATGACTGTAGATTCACGTTGATATTATGAACAGTATAAGGAGAATAATCATAAATCAAACATAATTGTCATTTCAACACATATTGAAAAATGTAATTCTATTTTAGCGTGGCCTTTCAAATTCAACATCAGACACAGCTATGTCTTTCTGTCCCACCTCAATGAACATAAAAGAAAGTGTTCAGCAGGCAGTCACCATATTCTTTCATTAATGATCTTCATTAATCGAGGGAGTTACGTTTTATTTTCCTTGTAGTTATCTTAAGCCAGCAAACAATCATAAGACCAAAGCAAGAAATACTTTTTTTTAATCCCAGTTGTAGGCCTAAGCAGCTTCTTTTGTTGCCTTTTTCATGGCATTCATCTATCTAAATGAGCTCTTCTCCACATTTTCATTTAAATGAATCATTTAACATGTTGCTTCTTAAAAGGGAACAGAGATTTTATTGAATGTCAATAACTAAAACCACAAATTAAAACAAGTGGACCTAAAGAAAGAAAAATGGTTCTGATATCTGAGACAGCTGGCTGTTTCGGAAAACATATATAGGAAAAGCCAGTGATCAATCAATAAGATTCAAAATCCTTCAAAAAGGGTAAAAGTTTGAATTAGAAAATCTATTAAAGTTTAAAGATTTTCTCAATAAAGATAAATAAAAGAATCAAATCCATCTCTTGCTGGGTTTTATAAGGAGTGATAGGTGACTAGAATCTGAAAAAAGTTTCTATTACTGACTTGTGGAGATGCTCTGAAATGAAATAAAAATACTTAGAAAGCAAACAGTGAATAGTTTTTGCTAGATAAAGAATATTTGATATAGATAAATGTAGATTAGTAAAATCTGCTTGTAATTAAAAGTAAATGCATAGTGAGATTTAAAGAGTGCTCAAGTTTGCTTCTAATTACCACAGACAGTTCTATCATGTGCAAGAGAATATATATATAAAGCATGGCATAGAGCCTCAGAAAGGCTGATTTATTTCTACAGGAATGTCTGTAAATTGCTGAGATATCATCAATTGACTAGAAGCAAAAAAAAACAAAAAACATATGAGGTGGACGATGAATGATGGAAGGAAATGAGAGGAAGAGAAACAAGAATTGTGGGATACAGAGAGAAAAGCAATTATCTCTTAGGACTGTGATGTTATGACAGGAGCTGACAGGCAGGGAGAGCTACAGCTTATTGCTCAGCTTCCATCACGGACGTCTCTTACCCGATTCTCCTCCTGCTGGCTTTCTTTTCTCATAATTTCTTTGAGAACCCAGCAGCAGGGCTCATCAGCTCCCTCAATACATTGATTACTGCAGATGCCGCAGGAGGTTTGTGGGAGAGTACAACTATCCACACATGCTTGAGTCTGAACGCTTGTATGTTTTGTTTGTGTACGCTGCCTTTTCTTAAATTGTTTGGTGTGCTTGCAAACAACCATCAGAGTCCCATCAGTGCTGCAGACCTGTCAAAGTAAATGCTTCAGCAATCCCTAAGCGCTGTCCATCTTGTGCTTAAAATTGGTGGCAGCAACAAAGTCTGATGTTTTCAAGACACAACAAAGATTTTAAAACATCGCACAGACAGCAAAGCAAGCTGTAACACTGCACTGGCTTTGAACAGAAAGCAGCAGATATGATGCCGCGGGTCTGGGCGTGCATGCAAAGCGACACACTAAAACACACAGATGAACTGTGCAATCTATTTTTCAGATTTGTTCAGGTGTTGGTCATTTCACCACTTTGTACATTTTGTACTGACCATGCTTCAATTTTCAATTTTCATGTTTTCAGCTTCAACAACTTCAAATTTGAAATGATATTATTATTTCTATTCATACTCTACGGTAAGGAAATGTTATCAAACTTCAAATATGCAAAGATAAAAGCTAGACAAAGAATCTATTCCCCATAAAATAAAAAAGAAAAAAGATCAGCAGTATTTCACACACACACGGTTATTAAAAGGAGAAATATGTCTACCTTGATGATGCATAGCCAACACGATTAAACTTTTTTTTTTTTCCTTTTTGGCATGTGTAAAATATCACAGGATTCAGAAAGTCTGAAAATAGCTTTCGAAGAGACTTATGTGACCAGCCTGGGTCAGAACTAGAGCTTATTTATCCCAGTCCCTAATGTGTTTATGTTTTGAAGTCACTATTTTTAGACCCCAGCATTTAGCTAGCAGATGAATGGTTGCTGTTCATTAGTAAAAAAAAAAAAATCTGACTGCAGACAAAAATTTGTACAAAACTTTTAAACAAAGCTTGAACACTGCTTGGAAGAGAGGTCAAAGGTTTTTCATTCAATATCCATCCATCCATCCATCCATCCATCCATCCATCCATCCATCCATCCACTCACCTGCTCAACCAGGTGAGAGCAGGCAGGTTGTCACTCTCCGACAGGGCAAAACACACGACACAAAATACTTCACACAAACATACACATGTTTACATCTTTCTATGTCACAAGGTCTTTGAAATGACTTCCATTTATATTTCCTTCATTTCTACAGTCCAGCCATGACCCTTTTCCAAAAACAGGACTTCTTCTTATGGAGCTCAGACTCTGGGTTCTGTTGCTGAAAGACAGCTAGGCAAATAAACTTGACTTGCATGTAACGATTGTTGATTAAAGCATTGATTAAAAATTCAATCAATGCTTTTATCTCATAATAAATTTGTTGATTGTATTGCAAAGTACAATCTGTACTGGTGGAGTACAAACATAACATATTGATACAGAAACTATCCTTTTGTGATTTTGGTGTTTTTAGCAGCTCTGATGCTTTCTATGATGACTTCAGATTTCAACACGGTCCATCAGGAGGTGTTTCAAAAGAGCCATGATGATAGAACAGTAACCACTAATTATGCCAGTAATGCAGACAAAACAATAAATTTTGTACTCATGGCTATTAGCTGAACATATGCACGGTGAGTTAATAACCTTAGGGAATGTATTTGCAAGGCTGTGAAGATAGTGTGACATAAAAACAGGAAATACAACCAAAAGCCCATCTAACAAATCTGACATGCAGTACAGACATTATTGCCACTTCTCTTATTGTGAATCTGTGTTTGGCTGTTTGTGTGTTGTAACTCAGTAACTCTGTTTTGCTTTCGGGTCATTGCTAGTCTCAGAATCGTATTAAGGTGTTTATCTCCATGACTACAGCAAATATATTTTCTCCTTTCCAGTTCTATTTTATGCAAGCTCCAAACTATATTTCTAGTCTCAATTTGTGTCTTCAGACCACTCATACATATAATTTGGAACTGTTAATATTAAAATAGATTATATTTATCGGCCATATTTAATGTTACGAAATTATAGGAGAGTCCTCTCTGAGTTAATATTCATGTTAAATGACAGCAGGTTTAACAAGAATATAGATATAAGTTTCACAGTCTGTCAAATAAATGTATACAAATCTCTGAAAGTGTGCAGCCTCTCATTTAGGTCACCTCTTACAGTGTGTAAGGATTTTGTTTTAGATGAAATAACACCAATAAGGACAGTAACAATGAAATCACTATCATGTCCTCAAAATTAAAGTTTGTTTTTGTTCGTGTTGCAAAATTCAACATTGGAAGAATTTCACTGGAATTAACCAGTATTTATTGGACTTTATACAAAAAGGAAGAAAGAAACATGGAAATATAAAATATTAAAAGACTAGCCCTTAACAGGGATTTTAAATATGAAGAAAATATATTTTAGCATAATCTTGACTAAACAATAAGATTTCATGCAAGTGAACTTGATGAGGAAGGTGCAGAAGAGGTCATACCCCCACATGCAGTAATATCATAAAATGTGCAGTTGACTTTTAGAGCTCAGAAGCGAGCCCACTTAATTGAGCCTGTGGTCTGCATACAGTAAAGTAGGTTTTGTAGATAAAGTAATATAAATATAAGTATATTTGATATAAGGTATTAAAGTTTAGCTTCACTTAGATTTCTGTCTATAAATAAACTGTTATATTTGTGCTTGCATGTAGTTGTTTGTTTCTAGTTAATGCCCTTTAGTTTCTATAATTCCCACTGAATTGTAATTTGGAATATTTTCAAAATTACCAATGTTAACTTCAAAAGGATAGTGAAAGGAAAGTATTTGGACACAATGGACATTTTGACGATAAGCTTAAATGAGTCTCACCAGTGTCATACTGCAGGATGAGGTCTTCCTGGAACTGTCCAACTTTCATGGGCTGGAAAATCACAGTCACCTGGATGCCTTCCCCAACATCGAGAATATCAGTAGAGGGCGTCACTGAGAAAGGACTGTTCACAACAAAATCGGCCATGAACAATTGAGACATAAATCTGTGATTATTGAAATCTTATACAATGTTTCCAGACACTATAGCTCCTGGAGATTTTCTAAACAAAGTTGCTTTTTTTTTGTTTCATTTTGAACAGTTTTATTCACATCTGTTTTGAATATAAAATGTATGAGAAATATCTCATTTGAACTCATGACATGTACTAGTTCTAACCTTTTTGTGTGCATCTTGAAATTGGCCTTACAGTTGCCTATGTTGCAAACAAAGTGAGTTTTCTCTGTGGATGCTTTCACTAGACAAGTAGGTAAATGAATCTCATCTTTAAAGTCAAGTATGGCGCGGGGCCCAATGGCACGAATTGGAATCTCAAAACATTCTCTTGGAGAAACACAAATCAGTCTGTGGCTGTAATCCTAAATTGAGAGAAGAAACAGACACAAAAGTTAAAAAGACAAACCAATGAATAACTGAGATTTTTTTCCTCGCAAAATATATAGACACAACTAGTTTATATATACATTTTACTCAAATAAATAAAAACTCTTACATCAGTTATAACCCACTTAAAGATTTTTTTAATATATAGATCAAACTAGACATATCTGAACACCAAATCTCAACAATCCAACTGGATTGAATTACAGTTTTTAATAACATACATATGGTATTAATAACAGTGTACTCCTCAGTCAAACGTGAAACAGCCTTTGCTATAAAGATAAAATTGAGCTTACAAGGAAGTCACAAGCACCACAGATAAAGAGATGTGATTCCTAAGTCTTACCACTAAACTCAAAGCCAGGGCATCATCATCACATAAAAAGATCATTCTGATAACTGTTAAAGAAAATAATAACTATGACAGTGAAATTAGATTTCTACACTTGACAGCAAGTCCCCTCAAACAGCTACCCTGTAACTCTAAGAAAATGTTTTCTAAATTCAAATACATCCTCCCAGAAGCACAATATTTTATCTACCTAAGACTTTCTGCTTCATAAATTTTGTAATGAATATTATTAGGAACAGCACCTTGCTCTCCTGTGGAGTGAAGAATACCATAAAACTGGCACTCATTCCTGGTGCTATTTTGCTTCTCCCAGTCTCTGGACCAGCCACGTAAAACTGTTCTGAAATATCCTGGTCCAACTTCACAGGGTGTGCAACCTTAAACAAAACAACAATTGCTGAAACAGCTGAAACAAAGTAGAATTCACAGAGTACTAAAACTGACTCCTGCTTGTACATGTCTGTTTCAATCCACCATGAACTTTTGCAATTATTTGCCATTACTTGCACACAACGCTGCTATAATAAGACACAACATGTTTATTTTTGCTTGGACAAGCCAAGTTTTGTCCATTTATCCCCAAATATGTGATGACTGAAAGACTCATGAAGTCATATATTGCTTTTAATCAGATGTATTTGAAAGATTCAAATTTTCATTTGATCAAACCTGGTCATTGTTGAGAAGCAGCAGAGGCAAACTGTAGGTTTGTAAGGGAATAAAGTTCTGGAAGACCAGCTCTGATGGGTAAGGCTGGAAAATCGGATGGTCCGGTTTTACTGGGGACAGCTGAAAAAAAAAAAACACATGCATGCATATTTCTAAAGAACTCCTTCTGAAGCAGCGTCTTGCAAAATAATTCATGCACCTTTAAACCATTCCACATTTTGAAACAGTACACCCACAAGCTTTAAGCCTCTGTTTTAGGATTGTATGTGACAGGTCAACATATGATGGCACTCATTTGTGAAGAAAAAAAAAAATAATGGTTTCCACATTTTCTTTAAAAACTTGGAAACCGAAAGGTGGTATGCATTTAGTAGTTTGTAGATTGATACCCCTATTTAAGTACTATGCAACAAAGTAATTAATATTTAGAGTCCACAGGTCTTTTATTTAATCTCAGTGTAAATACAGCTGTTCAGTTAAGGCCTAAAAGGTTTATTAGAAAACATTAGTGAACAAACAGCATTATCAAGAACGAAGAAAACAGCAACTGACCGACACCTATTTTGTTTGATTTAGGTAATGAAGCTTGCCTTAAGGCATGAGATGGATAACAAAAAAAAATTATTATACTTCACAGTTAATCAAGTTTTACAATACAGAATACTGGATAGAGTCTGGCAAAACAAATGTGTTTTATCATTGTGTAATTTATCTGTTCCTTGCTTATCTGCACCTGGAAAATACTACAAGAAACTTTTAGCATTCCAGAGTTCTCAAGACTGAATGACATGTATGCAGACAGTAGAAAGAGGATCTGAAATGGTTTTACCTGTGTTTTAAGAGGTAAAGAAAGCAGTTCCCAGGATTCAGACATTAAGCGGAAAAAATCTAAAAGTAGCATTGCCTGTTTTAAACGTCTCTAAATCTTACAAGCTATATATAGAACAACATAGCTTATTGAAGTTAATCTAAATTACTTCTGTTCTGACCTATTTGGTGGATACTCAGCAAGACTTTCATTTATCCCTGCAGGATAAGTGGCCCATATTGGATATTTGTCACTTTCAGATTTGCATATTTAATAAGTCAACAGAAAAGCATACAAGGTGAAATGCAAATTTTTTAATTTGCTGAGGAGGTATTTATTAATTTTAAATACCTTGAATGAACTTTTGACAGCAAAGTATGCTGGTCAAGTAGCAGCTGCTGACTGATGGAAGCTAATTTGGTGCATAAAGTGCATCACATTATTGGTATTTTATATGATAGACCGACACAAAGTAGGGCATAACTTTGAACAGAAGTTTAAGTTATGTCTTCCAGTAATTTTCTTCCTGGAAAAAAGACACATTTTCACATTTCTCACAAGTAGATAAAAAGTCTGCCGTGTAGTTGTATTCAATCTTCTTGAGTCAATATTTGTCTGTCTCTACCAGCTTTGCTTACTACTATAGAAACTTATTTTCTTGCAAATTATTTTTGTAGCTGAGAATTTGTTTCTTTTTTTTTTTTTGACTGGATAGAGAGAATTCTGCAAACATCAATTTTCATGTCCTGCAAAAGATTAATTCCATGTGGGTGAGAGCTTGGATTGGACTATTCTAACACATGAATATGAATTGATCTAAACAATTTTACTGTTGTTCTGGCTGTATGTTTAGAGTCGTTTTCCGGCTGGAAGGTAAACCGCAGGCCCGATCTTAAGTCTTTTGCTGACTCTGTAATTTCCCAGTTTCTGCAAAGATAAAAGTATCTTCACACCAAACCCACAGTGAAGTGTAGTCCAGAGAACTGCTCCTCACTGTGGGTGTGGTGTATTCAGGCCAATGTGCATTGTTACTCGTTTGTCAGATATTTAATTTTCCAATTAAGCCCAAAACCATATTTTGCTTCATAAGACCAGATCACTTTGTCCACTTGTGTGATGTGTTATCAACATGGCTTGTGGGTAACTTAGAAATTGGATTTTCATAGCTTTCTTCTTGCCACTCTTCCACCAACAGTAGATTTATTGTCTGCAAGACTCACAGCTATCCCGTCAACAGATTATCCCATACTAGTTCTAAAACTCTGCAGCCTCTTGGCTGCTTCTTCTTTTAATGCTTTCCTCGCTCACAAGTCAGTTAGGTTGCATCTCATCTGACAAACTTCAGAGGTTTTCAAGGAACAGCTGTAATTGTACAAAGACTACATTGCACACTGATGGACTCTATTTACTAAAAGAATAATGAGAAACCTTTCATACAATATGTTTTTATTATATGTTTTTATTCATTGTTAGGATTGTCATTTATAATGTTTTAATAGCACAAAATGTAAGCTGTTTATAAATCCAATCTCGGGACCAACGGTTCATGTGTCATCTCAAACCATTACAACTGATTTATCTCATATATTATTACTAAAAAGGTCTGGAGGAATGACAACATTTGCTGACATCTACCATGCAATGAGTGGTGTTGCCTTCTGGAGTCTCGAGCCTGAGGGGCAGATGGATCTCTGTGATGTTATCCAGGCGCTCCTCTGAGGACTGCATCATTTCTTGCTTAAAAACTGATGGAGTCATCTGCAATCACACAACAGGGTCTATTATCCAGTCTGCACTGGCTGTCTCTTTATTGTCAGATCAAACACCAGTAATGAAAAAGCTTAGTTCAGTGAGAGCAATCAACCATATTTTGTGGTTAAAACCTAAGCTACACAATCTGATGGCGCCTCCTTATCAGTGTACCAGAGACAAAGAAACATCTAACTGCACTTAGCCCATTTCAGGGGTAGGTCAAAAAGGAATTTCAGCTGGATTAATAATGTAGCAGGAAGTCTTATGATAAATGCAATATTTAACAGCTGACAGGTTTGGATTCATAAAACACTGCTCAGAAGCAATTAAGCTGCTTTAGAGAAGGAAGGAAAGGAGTTAAATAATATGATTGAGTGGAAATTTTATTTATTCCACGAAATTAGCAGAGGGGGGGGGCTGTTCATTTACCAACTTGTTCTTAATAAACTGTTTTCTTTAGCATTCATTAGAGGCTCAACATCTCAAAAGGCTATTATTAAGTTGTGACGTGAGGGCAAAGGTAAAATAGGACATAAATTGTTCCAGCCAACCACATCCAGAGTCAGATGCTGAAACAGCTTTAGCCATTTAACTACCTGAAAATCTGAATACAGAGAGACACATGTTTAGTTGAATATGGATATCACGTCAATCTGAGAGCATTCATAAAAGAAGCAGGATAAAGCACTGGCATAAAATTGCCACTGCAGTCAAGGATTGATTTTTGTTTCCTATAAGGAGCCAAACTAATTATTAGTGCAATTGGTCATTTGAAGAAGGTTCTTTAAAAGCATTAGACAATATCCAAAATGCAGTTCACTGATTACAGTGAGCATGAGAGCTCATCAAGAAAACCCATCTCAAATGTTTCCAGTTTTTTTTTTCTTTTTTTTTTCTGTTTTTTTTTACTTTTGATGATGCTATTGATAAATAAAGCACACAGAAACAGCAGGATCTGCTCACCCGCCTTGGCTTCTCGTCCTTTGGAAGGACTTTCAGTTTAAGAAGCCTAACTGTTTTCATCTGAATGACCTCTGTAGTACAATCACCTGAAAAAAAAAAACATGGTGTATGTTACTTAATTCTTGCAAAACAATTTGTAACACATAGCAAGATGAATTCCAGCTAATCCGCAGCAGAGACTCTCTGGAGAGGTTAATGCAGCGCAGAAAATAATTAGCCACTCTCCCACACCGCTCTCCTTGTGTAGATAGTACAATTTTCAAACTACGAATAACCAGACACACGAGCACTTATTTTTCCTGTATCAGCTACACAATAAGCAGTATAGGGGTGTAATATCTCATATCACCTCCTGATTAATACAAATGATTGTTTTTAATTTTGGCTGAAAGCAACATTTCTTCATAAAATTATAGCTTCAAACTATAGGCTGAGTCACAGGTGCTGTAAATGTTTTAGAATTAAACAAAAGAGAAAACGTCTTTGTTGTGCTAAGAACGTAATATTGAACTACAAAAAATAGCTGTTCCTAGCGAAACAGCCGTGAGAATGCATATTTGCAGAATGACTGCAGCAGACTATAGTCATTCTGCAAGAAAAAGTAGAGAAAAGCTTAAGAAGTAGAAGAAAGCAGAAGAAATTGAAATAGTTGAAACAGATGAACAGTGAAACATAGCAACATAGGAAAATGCATAAAATAGCAGAAGCAGGAATTATTACAAAGGCAGAAATATTTGAAGAATTGAAACATAGCAGCACAAAAACCATAAAGGAGCAGAAGAGGCTGAACAGTTTGATATATGAATTGCTAAAATTGATTAAAGATTGCAGAAGACCTTAAACAATATTAAAACCAGTAGAAGTAGAAGGCATACAGAAAAGTACACAAGCAGAATGCATAGGAACAGATAAAAACAGAGCACAAGAGAAAAATACATTGAAAGAATAGGAGAAAGTGTGACATGACTGTACTCCAGAGGAGTTTGACAGAAAACAGTAAGACATTCTCACTGACTAGTTCTTTATTATTATTAAAACAGAAACACTAGTAGTGAGAATTCTTACTATTCTATTATTTATTATCCAGTCTTCCTTACGTTTTTCGTCGTTTAACTACTTTTGCTATCTTTCACTAATTCATATATCAAAGCGTTCAGCTTCTTCAGGAGAATGGTGCTGTTCTCCTGAATAGCACCATTCTCAACAGTTGCTAGAGTGTACACTCTAGTAACTGCCGTTTTTGAACTTTTTCTGCTTTTTGACAAACAAAATGATGCTGTTCATACATATTTCACTGTAGAGAAATAATTTATGCATTAAAATGTAGCTACGTGTGTCTACTTTATGGAATTATTACTATTATTGCTACAGGTCTTACTGTTTTCTGTCAAATTTCTCTAGAGTACAACCATGTCACAATTTCTCTTATTCTTTCAATGTATTTTTCTCTTGTGCTCTGTTTTTATCTGTTTCTATGCATCCTGCTTGTCAACTTTTCTGTATGCCTACTGGTTTTCCTATCTTTTAAGGTCTTCTGCAAGTTTTAGCAATTCCTATATCAAACTGTTCTGCCTCTTCTGATCCTTTCTGTTTAATGTTTTGCTATATTTCACTGCTCTGCTACGTTTCGGTTGCTAGGCAACCGAAACGTAGCAACTGATTAAACAGTTTCACTGTTCTACTGTTTCAACTATTTCTGGTTTTGTACTGATTTCCGCTTCTGCTAATTTATGCTGTTTGCTACGATTACTGATGGTAGTTTTAAGTCCTGAAACTACCATCAGTAACTGTATAACCTAACACGTTGGAGTTATTTTTGGTTTTAGAGTATAACAACATTTTGCCAGATGAAGGTTTCTACTCACCGGAATGTAAATGTCGAAAATGATGACGTCAGCTTATTCTTCTTCTTGGGTTTTTGTGGGATGAGTTCTTGTGAGAAATTCTGTTCCCCTGTGAAAATCTGTTCCCCCTGTGTCGGGAGCGCGTATTGCAGCCAGAGAAGTGGATCCGGTGGGCGGATCTGACCATTTTCACTGCGCTTCTGATCGACTTCTCTGTAAAAACTACTCATAATAATCATGTCAATGTTGTAACTTTCAGTTTAATCGGCAGCTATCAAAATAAAAATAAATAAACGAGGTCCTGTGTGGAGGTCTTTTTTACGCTGTTTTGTGTCATTTTAAACGCGAAGAGAATCGATCTTTTTTTTTTTTCAGCTTTTGTCTCGTAAGCCTGACAAATAAAAGTCAGTAAACAAACAGGTTTCCAACACGTAGTGTGCATTTATAATTTTTCATTTCTGATAAAGGAGGAGGGAAGCTGGCCGATAGCAGGGCACAAAAATAAAGACTTCCTGAAAAGATCAGAGTGTAGACTTTTTGGTCAATCACGTTCTAATGTAAAATATGACAGATTACTGGATTAAGGAAATGTCTAGTATGCTATCACACATAATAATTTTTTAGAATTTGGAAACAGTTGATTTTTATTTCCCAAAGTTATGGGGGGAGAAGAGGAGAAAATTGATATTTCAGCGGCCTGAAATAATGTGTTCCCCCTCTTTAAAATGGAAACAAATCAATTTACCTGCAAAGTCTTTTACTGTGTTAATTCCCCTCATCATCAACAAGAAATCCTGTGATTTTCGTAACATTTTCTCTTTTTTTGCCAAAGTTAGGATGGGGGAATAAAATATTTTAACCGCCTGATAAAATCTGTTCCCCCTACATAAAATGGAAACAAATTAATTTACCTGTAAGTCTTTTACTGTGTTGATTCCCCTCATCATCAACAAGAAATCCTGCAAGTTTGAAAACATTTCCTCTTTATTTCCCAAAGTTAGGATAGGGGAACAAAATATTGTAGCTCTTTCAGCCACCTGAAATAATATGTTCCCCCTACTTAAAATGGACATGTACAGTGAATTAATTTATTTGTTACCTAAAATTTGAATCAGTAAATGAAGCTGTATATTTCAGTTTGCAGAAAAACTCCTAGCAAAAGTGGTTGTGGATTTTCCTGTTTCTACTGCGGCGGAAATGAGGTTGGACATTGCTGTGAGACTTATTCTTAACAGTGGTGATTATAACATTAATATTCTTATTTTGAGTGTTAATGAAAATTTTTATCATGACCATAACAAAAAAAAAGTACTTAGCCTAAAACTTAATACATCAAGATGTGAAGTCAACATGTGACGCTGAGGGAACCTGCCCAAGCGTCAATATATGACGAGTCGGGAGTGAGAATGTGTTGAAATAACACATTACGTGCTCCAAATATCAAACCACTTCCCACGTTTTTAATTTTATCTCTCTTCCCTTTATTGACATCTGGTCCATTCAGAGTGCCATTAAAACTGTTAAACTGATGCAATTCTTTTAAAAGTTAAATTTCCTATTATTTTGCCCATTGGCCACATTCCCAGACAGTTCACTGGACGAGATTAACATACACTATGTATGTACATCTGTGTTGTGTCCAGATTTGACGTAGCAATTGTTCTCTGAACTAGGAATTCACTGAATACTCAAACAGTCAGAACATTATGAATTGTTCCTTCTAGGTAATGGCTGCCATTGAAGCATAAATAACAGCTACAATTGTGTGCAAGTCTTTTCTCTCAAGATTTTTTCACAGCTCATCCAGATGGAGGCTCTGGGGAGTGCCGATGTTGAGCCTTTCACCTCAAAACCTGCAACGAATTGCCAGTGATTTCTGTCTTGCTGCTGATCCAAGATGTGCACTGGTGGACCACAAGGCACTCTTGACGTTTTACCGATGGGGCTTCATACTGACGTGGAATTTCTTGACTTTCACTGCATTTTTTGTTATCATGAATTTGTAAACTGCATCTTTTTTTCTTCTAATATAAGATAATCAGAAGACTGTCAAACAACATTAATCCCTTTTGTTTTTATGGTCTGTTTTCAAGGAGAGGTATTGCTCGTTATAATGCCTCTGTTTTGTCTATACCATTTGTTTTGGCTGTGTATTTAGAATGACTGTTATTTAGCACTGAACGACATCTTGAAAGGATGTATTATGCCTGAATCAGGGCAGTTTGATTTATTTACTGGCAAGAATCAACTGATTGGTGGTACTTTCACGAGAGGAGAGGAATGTTTTTTGTTTGTTTGTTTGTTTTTTTTGTGTGGTTTTAACTCCTGATCACTTTCAGATTTATGTTGGGTGAGCATGTATTCAATCAATTTCATGAAACTTTAGATGAAACCAAAGTAAAACTTTTAGGCCTGTTTAGGTCGGCATCATCCTTAATACACCATTCTCACAGTGACACATGGTGGGCGCAGCATCTTGCTGAGGGGTTTTCTTTAGTCGGGACACAAAAACATACACAGCAATGACACAATGTGAAAAAGCTCAAAATGATTTGTGAGGTTTGTATTCAAAATTATTAACCTGTGTGATCATTCTATTTTTTTAATCCACTAATCCCTTTGGCTGCCCTGGTGATGGTTCATCTGAGGATTCAACACTTTTCATAAAAACCAGGAGGCTTTGTCATATTTTCAGCCCCACAACCAAGTCACACTTGTTTAGAACACCAGTGCCGAAAATAAAGTGTGCCTGAAAGCAGAAAAAAACACAGTGTCTGTCGCGGTGTTGCCTTTGCTTAAATTAAGTTATTTATTTGTTTGTTTAGTAGAGCGTTCTTGGGAGAGGGGAGGGAACACTTCCTTCCACCAGGGGGCAACACTGCGTCATTTTAAACTCACTCTCTCCTGAACTTTCTTTCGCAACCTCTGTTTTGGAGGAAGGTGGTGCTATTGTGGACAAGCGCTTGGCGCTCCTGCAGATGAGCGTGTGTTCTCCAGGCTGCCCTGATGGATAAATGCTGAGAGGCGGCCGAGCCCATGGTGACCTCTGTCGCTTTTACTATGTCTGCAGAGGCAGCAATGATGCTCTGTCGGAGGACCCGAAGTCTGGTGCGCGGATGAGTTTTCGAGTGCTCTGCAGCCTGAGCAGAAGAAACACGATCTGGCAGACTGGATGCAAACCACCCAGGATGTTTTAACTGCGCTGCCTGTTAACTTTTTGTCTTTTAATTCTTTTGCTGTTTTTGACTTCATTTGGATGCCTTTTTGTGGGAGTTTTCGTGTTGCTCTGCAGGGAGCAGACATGGTTTTGCGCACTGGAAGTTTAACCCTGCTCTCCTAAACTCCCCATCTTTTGAGTTTTTTTTTTTTTTTTTTTTTTTTCCCACCACAAGTTTATAACCGAGTCTGCAGGAGGATTGAGGCACGAAAGAGCAAATGGCCAACGAGCGCAAACCGCGGCTCTGCATCATGGCAAAGGGGGACAGCGGGTACGGGTTCCACTTGCACGGCGAGAAAGGGAAGAACGGCCAATATATCCGCAAAGTGGAGCCGGGGTCCCCGGCGGAAGCGTCGGGAATGCGCGCCGGGGACAGGGTGGTCGCGGTGAACGGAGTCAACGTGGAGCGAGAGACGCACCACCAGGCGAGTGCATCTCCACGCGTGGGAATTCATATTGATGATTGTCACTCACGTTACAGGATGGGCCATCTCTGTCTGCAGGGGGTGCATCAACAGGTCATGCTGGCTTACTGAAACAATCAGAACAGTCAGGCACCCACTGCTCCAATTTAAAAAAAAAATCTTTTTATTGTTTTTAGAAAACAAAGAACGCGTTGACATTATAGATTTTTACTCAGCCTGAGAAAAAAAAAAAAAAAAACTTTCCACAGATAAGAACGTGCTTTTCCAGACAGCTACAGCCTGCGCAGCGCGTCTGTGCCAAGAAAAAGCTGCAAACAAGCCAACCCGCTGCTGCCACCGTAAATTAGGTTAAAACTGTCTCCAGTTCTGCCTGAACTGGGCTGTTTCTCTCCGAGGACTTGGCTCCTGCTCACAGAGAGTCTGAGGGGGTTTTATAATTATCTGTGTACAGCCCGTCAGGCTCTCTCTGTGACCTTGTTGCAGCAGAGATAAAAAAAAAAAAAAAAAATCAAGCTGTTGGTCGCTGGGTTCAGCTCTCAGGATGTGATCCGTCCTCTCATTTCAGTGGGACAGATTAAACTAGTTGGATAATGATGTTTGATGACATTTAAACTGTTGCAGACCACCTCCAAAACAGACCCTCACTCCTTATTATGCAAGAGATGCGGGTAATTTGGATGTGTGTCATTGAAAGATATAAACTCGTCACTGATTATCCTGCAATTGATCTAATGCTAGGTTTTGGTTTTACAACTTCGGTGGCCCGTTGTGGACCACCATAGTTGTGCTTTTCACATTTAGAGACCGAATATTTTGGCTATTCTACTTTGAAAATTAGCTCAGTTAGATAAGATAGAGAGCATCTGTGAACATTCATTTCCAAGTCTTGCCACAAATCTTCAGCTGGATATAGGCTTGGCCTTTGACTGGGCCATTTTAACTCGTGAACAGGCTTTCGTCCAAAGCATTCCATTGTAGCTCATTGTAGCATTCCATTGTCGTATGTTTAGGGTTGTTGTCACAACAGAAGGTGCATCCTGTAGGTTTTCATTCAAGATTGTCTTTTCATCAAGACAAACTTACCTCCCTGTCTGGAGCTGCACGGTACAATAAATCACAATCATCACTTTCGATTTCAACATGTTTACTATTGCAACACAAAGGACTGCTTGAATGCAATATTTTGTTGATCATAATATCACCAATTTCCATGCATTCAACCTTTGCATGTTAGTGACAGCAATAGATATGGTCGTTGTAGTGTTAAACATTATCACAATGTCATGTTTTTATTTATGCTTTGCAACCTTATCCCTCTCCCTGCAGAATTAAAGCGTTCCCACAGCATGTTACATCCATCACCATGTTTCACAGAGGGTATGGTTTGTGCAGTGCAGCCAGATTCTATTAGCTAGCTTGGCGAATCCCAAAGAAAACTGGTTTCTCTGGAGTTAGGGATTCAGAGTAATGCAGGCCACACTTCTAAGCATTTTATTTGTGGCAAAAAAAAAAAAAAAAACGTCATTTTCCTTGAACTTCACATTTTTGTTGGTCTGTCACAAAAAAAATCCTAGTGGTTTGTGGTTTTAATGTGGCAAAATGTGACTCAGCGACTTTGAGCACTTTTGCGAAGCGCTGTTATCGTACAGAAGCCAAACCTGGCGTAATGAAACCTGGATAACGAAAATTAATAATCTGTAAATCAAATGATGATCGTGTCCCTCCTCCAGGTGGTACAGCGGATCAAGGCAGTAGAAAACGAGACAAGGCTGCTGGTCGTCGATCAGGAGACATACGAAAGCCTCCGCAGCCTGCATCTGACGGCCACAGAGGAGATGGCCGTTCTCGGGACAGAGGCTCTCCCCGCCGCTTCTTCCCCTCCGGCCTCCTCCTCGCCGACGCCCTCCTCCACTCCTTCCTCCCCCACCAAGAAGCGCCAGAACGGCTCTGTGTCCAAGCAGGGCAGCCATGTGCAGAAGCCCACAAGGCGGTCGCCTTCGAAGGCTGCAAAGAAGGTAAATACGAATTAAAGCCATCGTCTTATTTCGAAGCGAGAAACCCAACCCGTGTGCCAACAGATTGCCAGTACTGAGTCATGTCTCCTCTGAGCTTCTCTCCTCCCCGGACTTGTTTTGTGGCTGTCATGCCAGTTTAAGATTGGATTTGTCGATGTTGTGCAGGTTCTGCAGGCTCAAATTCTTGTGTGCTGATGAGGGAGTAACAAAGCTTAGCTGGAAGCAAGCCAGACGTTGTTTCAGAAGTAAGAGTGGCCGTGAAATGTCAGAAGGTGACACCAGCAAGAAGGCATAAAGTCTGGGTTGTTAAAAGCTTGAAGAAGAAAAAAAAAGAAGCTATTAGCTCTCCCATTGTGGGCTGGAAGTTTTTTTTTTTTTTTTTTTGCGTTTTTTGTAGTTTTGGTAAAAGGAAAATGTAAAGATTACAGTGGGCTGTGATCTGCCTGTGTTCATTTTCACGAGAAAATTGAGAATTTCATGAATTTGTTTTCACATTTCAGCCCACGGTGACAGTCGTCGTCGCGTCGTGTCCACAAGACTCAGATTTGGTTTCGTAGAGCACCTATCAGAAGGAACACGCCGCTCCCCTTCTGCTTTCTGCATTTACGCCACATGTGTTTTTACTTAGCTTTGCCCTGTTGACATCCTTCCAGCACTCAGGCCCTTACTCTGTATGGGGTTTGACAGCTTCACTGCTTTGCATTTTAAATATCTCTGTGACTTTGTCTACTTCTTGCCCTCTTGTCTTGGAAAGCGTGCAGCACTAAGATGTTCTAACCCACCAAGGTTTGCAAAAAAATTGTTTCCTTCTCCATGTTAATGACTCAAAGGGAAACGCTGGAAGGAAACACTCAGTAGGCTGAACCAGAAATGGAGTAGCCTTTTAAAATGAAATGCACACTTTAACAGGGACCTCTATTTCCTGTTGCATCTCAAAGGAATTTGTTCCCTTATAGATATTAAGACTTAGGATTGACGCACCACACAAATAGAGCATTTAATGTCTTCTGCAGAAGTCTCTTCGGGTTGTGACGGGGAAAAAAAAAAAAAAAAGATTTGGCTTAAAGTCCAGCAAGTAAAAGCTTAGGGAAAAACACTGGTCAACAAAATGGAGAGGAAAACCAAGGATTAAAAAAAGGTATTCAGTGATATGACAAACTAATCAATCAAGTTTATTTGTATGGCACTTAAATATGGCAACAAGGCAGTTCAAAGTCAACCATGCAGTCAACAATCTATATCCCCCACTTTACAGATGTCCCCTGTTTTAGCTGTTTTGTCACACTTAAATGTTTCAGATCTTCCAGTCAGACATCACCAAGGTAATCTAACATTGTCCAATGAAAAGAATGTAAAATTGTAGAACAGGTTGACCAGCGTTCTTCTCTAAATTTGCAAAAAATATTGCAAAAAAACCAATGACAATAGAAACTGTCTGTGCGTTGAATCACTGCTCCGATGTCGCACATTCCCAAAGTCACATTGAGTAGAGAGCCTTACAATACATTCTCTTGAAAAAGGCACTTTTTTTAATAAAAGAGATCCACAGATCCTCTACTTCCTTTCTCTCACAGCAGACCCACCTAGAATATTTGTTGTTAAAAAAAACTCAAAAAAAAACTTACATTGTTTTGCTCTCTGAATAAATGTACTCAAAATGAAAACAGATTTTTTTTCCCCCCCCCCCCCCTAAATCCTCTGGTGTTTAATAGCTCTACTGCAATAAATTATACATCTATTTAAAGGCTTTTCAAGCTATGATTGCTGATATAAACTGATTGTTCATTTGGATTATTAGTATTTGACACTGTATGCCACGTGGTTTGGTCCATTTTATTTTCCTCTCACTAAGCAACGGGACAGCCAAACTGCTGACAGCAGCACATTTCTCCTCATATTTTACTTTTTAAGACAGGTCGAAGGAGGACAAGCAGGCAGCCTGAGATTTAAAAGCATTATGAAATAGGACAGAGGGAATCTGAGACTCAAAGCAGCCAGAACAAAACTCGCTGGCACTTTAAGTTCACCCACTCACAGCAGGGCAGGGCACTGGGAAAGCAAGATTTGGGATATTCACCACAGCAGTTTGTCTCATACTTAACTTTTGTTCACCATAAAAGTAGTAAGTAACTGCAGTTGATTGTAGCTGCAGTAAGCAATATAGAGTCCACTACCTGTGGTCAAGATGACATTGTGCTTCCTGGTCGTATCTCTGTAACCCCAGACGTTCGGATGAAAGGACCGAGTTCAGGACGGTCTGACTTCAGATGTTAACAGCATTGAGTGAGTGACGGCGCTGAAATAACGTGTTTTGGTTTTCTTTAGAGCAAAACCTATAAAAGTGGCTTGTTTTCTTCTTGATCTCTCAACATGAACCTCTGCAGATATCAATCACGGCACTTACCGCTGCTGCACCCGCTCACGGGCAGAGGAAACGCAGCCCGACACAAACCTTTCTGCATCCGTGTTTTCCTGCACATCTGCCCTATAAACATCCCAGTAAAAGGTTCAGAGTGGAGTGTTTGTGCATATGTTCTCCAGGTTACATGACACTGCCTGTAGTTTCTTCTGCTTTACAGCCAGTCATCTCGAAGGTTTCCCTCCTATTGCATTCCTCCCTATGTTTACTTGCCTCTTGATTTGTGATGCAGGAAATGGCTTTCTGCTCAAACAAATCCAGGATACATGATATGTGTGTTTTCTTCATCTTTTATCCGCTCACTGTTTTTCTAATATCACCGAAAGAGAGTTAAAATAATCATGATGGAGATTATCCACGTTTCTCATCCAAAACACAAGATCCCGGAAGGAACCGGGGACAGAAAGGGAAATCACAGTTTCTTTCGATTTCTTTATTCCCTCAATCTCCAGTCCACTTTTCCCGTAAATAAATTAATCATTAATTGATTGGTAGCAGCATAAGAATACATTTGCTCAGTTTTCCACAAGCCTGGCACAAATATTAGCTTTTCCGTCACACACTTTAAGCAGCTGTCACACTAAATGTGAGGAAATTTAGGAGATTTTGTGAAACATCAAGCCCTGTCAAGTGTGTGTGTTATTTCTGGCAGGCCCCTAATTAATAGCGTAATTAGAGAAATGTTGTGGAAATCACAATGTCCTGCTTCTTCAAGGCAGACTATGTCTTGAAGACATATAACCGCGTCTTTTCTCATTTAAATGGTCATTTCAAATGGGACTTTGTCTTCCAATGTCGCTGAAGCAAGTTTAGTGGTTACCATGGTGACTGAATACAGGTCAGAGTGCAGACCCTGCTTATCAGGGAGTTGAGTTTCCTGTTGCATTGCTTGATGCTGCGTGATGGGCTCATATCACAATTTCTGCTTGATCTCTATCATCTAAGTGAAGACGCCACCTTAATAATTTCAACCAGACAAACAAAACTGCCGTGTAATTTAACAACAATTCATTTTAGATCATTTTACATTTGTCTGCACATACTTTTAGAAGTAACTGTGCACGCGTCTGTTTTGGTCAAATGGAGAAGCTAGTGATGCTGGAAGTGCAGGAGCGTCACGCGTCAGAGTTTAAATGTATCATTTTACAAAGACACACACCCGAGAGCTCAACGCTGGCCTATTTCTCCACGTTTCTCTCTCGCACACACAAACACAGACTCCTACAAAACTCTAAGGTGTGTTGCTGTGTTGTGTCACTTCCCTTTGGATAAAGTGTTAGGTGTCACTTTCTCATTAGGACCTTTTTTTAAACCTGCAGATACACACAAACACACACGCACACAGCTGCCTCTATACGGGTCCAAATGTAACAAATACGTGTTTTTATCAAACGCCAACTTTGCGTTCCCTTCTTGTGATCTTTAACACAGCTTTTTGCAACATGCGCTAGTGTTGGCTCATTGCGTGCAAGTGATAAAACTGTGGAAAACCAAATACTTTTTGCTAAAACAAACACAATGTTGCTGTGCACTATTCACTTCTGGGAAGGCAGGGTTAAATTTGGCTAAAGAGTAAGTAAAACAGGAAAACGCTATGTTAAAATTTTTGTGTTTGCAGACTTTATTCCTATTACATTTTTCAAAAGAATAAAAATAAGAATTTTAATTCCCAAATACGCAGAGGGCTTTCCACGTTCAGATCACTATTTAAAACACTGTGATTGTAGCAACTCTGTAAAAGACTGAACTGTTTGTAATTTACTTTGAATTAGAACAGGATTTTACTAATTACACCAGAGGAATACTTTAATACGTAAAAAGTTATTTAAAACTATAATGAATCTAAGATTTTTTTTTTTCCTTTTCCAGAATATTTAAGAAGTAAATTCATCAAACTCTACCTGCAACATTGTTGATGCCCAACAAACACCAGGGGCTTTTTACCTACGAAATCATTAGTTTGGTCAGCAATGTGCATCTGTCAGCTTGTACCCGGTCTCCATGGTAACTAATTGCTCTATGAGTGGCAGTAGTTTCTGCTACTTCTTTTGGATTTAAGCTCAGATTTCTGTTGCAGAGCCACTGCTCCATCATCTGAAAGTAAAACTCTTAGCTCCCTGCACTGACGCTCGTAAGTTCGGTTGTATTCTTTCTAATGTCAAAAACAAAAATACAGCAGACTCTTAACTTGCACATCTACACTGTCGTCAGCATAATAAGCCATTTTGTACATAATGAAAGGTCATAACTACCTACAATGAAAACTGAAGGGGAAACATTTTTATCTTAGTACATAAAGACAAAAATAAACTTAGTGTATTACTTTAATAAAATACATTATTGGAAGAGGGAAATATTGGTATAAATGTAACTAAATGAGGGTTAAATTTGAAATCAGAAAAGTAAACATGTTTTTCCTACATGTTCTCAATGATAGTCTTTATATCCATTGCATCATTTCATCTATACTGTGCATGATGAGTAAATATGAAATTCCAGGTTCTAAAGCAGATCACAAAACAACAAAAGGTTACTCAGTGTTTTGTTTCTCAGTGATTTGTGGAGAAGGGCTCCTTGACAA